TTAGATAATTAGGTGAACAATATGAAAATATTCTTATCATGGTTAGGTACCTACCTACATAAACTTCTCAGCACAACTTGGTAGGTATATTCTTAATACTTGATAGAGATATTAGCCAAAAGAACATTTTTTAGGGTACATTATAATAATGTTCATATGACAATATTCAAATAATGTTATATAAGGTAGGTTCTAAGCACAATCTTTCAGGTAGGTGCATAGAAGCAACATTCCTAGTACATAAATAGAACGTCCAAAAATGAATATTTCAGTCGGAAAAATCTTAGAATATTCATTAAACATTCCTAAAAGAACAATCCAAAAAGCACTTTGGAAGAATATTCTGAGAATATGAATGTTCTTTCACTGTTATGTGGGCTTGTTACGATAAGTTTATCATTTACGTAACATGTTCCATCTCTTCTTATTTTCATTATAAAGTTGTATTTTTTCCATTCCAGAATCAACAAAATATTAATTCCTAATGCCCGTATTACGTCTGTGTATTTTTCCGTGTATTTACTCATGTAGTTTAGGGTGCCAACATTATTTTGTATTTCATAATGCTGATTTATGTTGCATTTGAAGTTTTTCGGTTGTCACCCTGAACTACATGAATAAATACACGGAAAAATACACAGATGTAATACTGGCATAATAATGTAAAAATATCTACAAAGTTCAAAATAATACCAATGCTGCCATCTATCCATCATGTGAGTGAAATGCAGGTGTCTAGAATTCATTTACCAGTGCTGCCATCTAGTACCGGGTAGTTTTTTTTTTTTTTAATTGTAATTCTTTTCCTATTTTTATTTGACATTCATTTGTATTTTCATTCATAGAAATTATATTTACCTCACTTTTAGCAATACAGGATATATTTCTGTCTTTCTCTAACTTCTGATTCTGAAATAATCATTTTTGGCTTAAGACCTAATTAATTAGCAGTTTTTTATTTTTGACATAACCTTAATTTAAATTATTATAATTTATAAACAATTAAAATAATTTTAGTGGATTTTTATCTATCCTCTTTTTTTCCATGTGGTTTTTCATTGTGATTTCATTGTAAAGTGAATATGATCTTTTGGGTGTACTCGTCTGATTGGTTGAACTGGTTAAAATGCAGTTAAGTATAAAAAAACACAGGATCGTTTTCATGTGGGGTTTGGTTTTTCAAACGTTCTCTTTTCTCGACAGTAGTCTAGCAGGCAAGTCCTTTTCATTTTTAATAATTTTTGCTCTATATTTTTGGATTCTCCCTCATATATTTTTCAATATATTTTGCTATTAGTGAATATTATCATATCATTATTAAGTTTTTACCTGATAAATCTTATCTTATCTATTCTTGAAATATAAATATTATATTTTAATTTTTTATCTCATTGTGGGCTTCCATTTTGTGCGATCGGTAGTGCCACGTTTTTCTGAGGTAAGTCAATTCAGATTTTTGAACTAATAAATAGGTATTACTGCTGCTCTGGTTTTCAGAATCAATTGTTAGTATGGGTATATTGGACCATTTGCTCTAAACAGAATCGGTGAAAACCAAATTTGTGTGTCCATCCCTATCAACTCTTTATTGAATCCAGGCAGAGGCCTGAATAGCCGTCAATTATTATCTTGACTAAAGGGTGTAATTTTTTAAAAGAAATCCAGACAGGTCAAAAATTCAGTTAAAAAGTTTTAATTAGAACATCTCAAGAATTTTGACATATTCTGGATTTGATTAATTTCAATCCCAGGTTTATCCTGTAGTATCTATAGTAGCTACCTTAATTTGAAAGGAAAATTTTGTCTATTTAGGGGAGAATCTAAGGATTTAATTTCTTATTGTTTTATCATATTTTGTTCATATTTTTGCCTGCTAGTGCTACTTTCAGAAAAGCAGCATTTTGCTCAGTCTTAACGAGCATTTTAGTTTAATCTTGCTGTTATTATTTTAATGTTACTATTATCTTTTTTTATATTAAAATATCTTTTTTTTTTTTAATTTGCAATAGCTGTTCGTACCTGATTCTGTTGGAAGGGAGTATCTGTACAACAATAGTTTCATAATTAATTTCAATTCAATTTCCTTTGCAAGACACTCACTTTTTGACAGAACTCAGGGATTTATTATTCCAAATATTGGTGAACCTGATACTGCCATATTCTTTTCTGGGTACCTACTCGACATAAAGATCACTATTTGGAGTCTGGATCAGCTGGAGTGACGTCACTCCAGCAATCTATCCTCTTTCCTGGATACAGGAAACAACACGAAGAGCTCCAGTTCACGAAAGTGAAACCCCAACACAGCCATTGAAGAGCTCCGGATTGGAAAGGTACATGGTATCAGATTCACCGGAAAAACCAAGCTGTCAACACCTCAAGTGTACAGAAAGTAACATTGTCTGTTACTATAATATGTTACTATGAAACATTGTAAATCAAATAAAATTATTGTTTGTTGAATTTTAAGTGGTTTCATTTGCACATAAAGGGACTACACGTTATCTTAATTTTTTGAATTCCACGACCCAAAGTTCAAATAACTTATTTATTTGTAACAACCTTAACCCCAAACATACCCACTTTAGCATTGTTGACAAAGCCACTCTAGTTCCATTCGAATCTGACCAGGAGGTTGCAGGGTATTTTCCACAGCAATTCCAAAGTGTTTTTTACTAAACTCAGCCCTACAAATATTAGACCAACACTTTCAGTTGAGTCCTATTACAGAACAGAAATCAACACTATAAATTTCATGCCAGAAAAAGTAGAAATCGCCATTAAATCTCTAAGGATGAACTCTAGCCCTGGACTTGATAAGCTCCCTGCTATATTTCTCAAAAATTGTTTGCACTCTCTAAAGGGGTCACTGGGCAGCACTTAATGACTTAATATCCACAGGAGATTTTTCACAACCTTGGGAAAAAGTAGTATCTATATTCAAAAAGAGTAACAAAACGCCTTTGGAAAATTGAGCAACACTCTAAAATCCAACATTCCAACCTGTTTTAAGAGAAAGGTCTTCAACCATTGTGTCCTTTCTGTGTTAACCTACGGAGCAGAAACATTATTGACACTAACAAAAAAGATATACCTAGTAAATAAAATTCGCGTTGCGCAGAGATCCATGGAGAGGGCAATGCTAAGGAATAGATTTTTCAATTTTAGACTTTGCTAAATGCCTGGAGTAACAGATGCTATTATTGAACGCATAGTAACGGTAAAGTGGAATTGGGCTGGACACATGTATAGTCCGTTTATAAAGTCTATAGACTTTTTCGAGTGCGTGATCTGAGATTTTGGACGCTGAATGGCTAGATTTTGGGTCCTCACTAGGACCTTGGGTAAATCGTTTAAAATGAGTGCTCGTCGCCCAAGACGACCCTCTAATTTGGGCCAATCAGCGTCCAAAATCTCAGATCACTTACTCGAAAAAGTCTTTAGCAAAAATGGCAGATGGACGATAAAAAGACCGCGACATGAAGTCTTCCGGAACAGAGGTCGCCCACCAACAAGAAAAACTGACGTCATTACAAGAATAGAGCTAAATTGGATAAGTACAGTACAGGATAGACTACGGTAGGCCTGATGTCCAGCAGTGGACGCAACCAGGCTGATTGTTGACGATGATGATCCATGTTTCAATATACACTGGTTTTGAAACTTCAAATTTTAGCCGTAAAAAATTGAAATAGAAATCTTTGCAAACCCATCCAGAGTCGATGAGAACCCAGATATCTCGAATTTCAGGAAATCTGTCAATAATTTTTCTAAGACGGAGGTTCTATCAAATGGCACGGATGATCTAGAGCAGACTATTCGTAATGTACTTGAAGCGATTCTCCAGGATGTTTTACCCATTTTGCAACTATTCACAACCACTGACAAATTTCTCTGTATTTTTTGACTAATTGTTAGAAGGAACCTTTACTAATAATTGCTTCCATTTAGAATTTTTCTTCAAACCAATTCATACAAAAGCAAATAATGGTTCTCGAGAAGCCTTGGTTCCCTGATTCTGAAGTAGGGGAGGCAGAGTGGCTGAAAAGTGCTAAAATCCTACTTTGGAACAAATTTTTCGAGATGGCTCGGTTCTAATTGATTCTAGGAAAAAATAAATACATCAGGCCAATATGGAAATTCTCTACAAAAAAGATGAAGGGCTTTTTTTTTCGTAAACGCAGTCGATTTTTCAAAATCTCACATTGAATTTGGACTTACGTGATATGGATGGATAATTGATTTGAAGTTGTAGTCTATTCCATACCACCCTTCAACTTGAGTACCTACTAAGGCACGTCTTTTTCCATGTAGGCACCTTGACAGGCCTAATGCAAGACTGCCGTATTTATTTAAATGTCTTCTCGATAGAATGTTCTAGGAAATCCGAGTCAACTTCAGAATAACAGTTTTTGCTTCAGAGTGGCTTTTTTTTCTGGCCGAGTCGGTTCAGTATTGGAGCAAAACTGTCCATAGCGACTATAACTAATGAGCAATTAAGTCCCAACCTCCACACAACAGTTACACAATTTTCCTTGACCTTTCGTACCGGTGCAGACAATCGCAGTAAAAAGGTAGTCAGGTGCAGGAAGTTATGATGTTGCTTTTTGCCACATTATGGACATGGTTGATCAGAGTGATTTGATGAATTCCATTCCCTCTGCCCATAGACCAGTACTTGAGCCAGGTTGACACGGTCTAAGTATGCACTTGGTTGGGAGCTTGGACCAAGTAAGTTGGCAAGCAGCCTAATTGTTTGGATGTTAGGATTAGGAACTGGACTTGGATTATGAGATCCATGTCAACCTGGCTTTAGTTATTCTCTGTTATATATGCAATACTACCTAGTTGTCGCTGTCACTGTCACACCATTGACACATTTATTTTAATGAAACTGCGAGTTTGCTGAATTAAAATAGACACTAGTAGAAATTATATAATAACGCCAATAAGTATAGACATTAATTCACACGTACTTGAACTAGTAATTATATTGTAAAATGAATCCAGAACAAACTAATATAGAATGTGAAACTCCGCCAAGTATAGAAGAGAAAGAAGAAGATTCTGTCGATTCTGATAATACTCTAATAGAAACCAGAAACATCGAAGTGAGTTTTGGTGCCTTGGAAGTGTTTAAAGAACGCACCAAATATGTCGGTATGAATTCAACTTATTTTGCCAGATAAGTTTTTTTTTTCAAACGTTTCTATACATGAATTGTGCAAGATTCCCTGTCCCCTTGACAGTCGTTGCTTATAGATCCTTCATTTACACACTATGTTTTTCAGATATTTGGTCCCGAATGTAGAGATAAAAATTTATAGTCTAGGAAAGAGAATATCAATACACATTTTTTTTTTTTTATAGAGTTTCAACGACCCATGACAGACGAAGATATAACCTATACCATCAAAAAAAGTGCATTGCCAAGAACAATTATTAAATCCTCCTTTGAACTGGAGCACCACAAAGGAGAATTGAAACCAAATCAAAATTTCAGATTAGGCATTACCTATAAACCTACCGTGGTTGGTATAGAAGATACTGCAGTTTATCAATATACTGATAGCGATGATGAACTTATCAGAATAACATTAAATGGAATTGCCAAAGGTCCGAGCTGTCGCATATCAGTTGATAAATTGGAATTTTACATAATCCCTGATCGGAAAATCACACAACGTAAACTTGAAGTCAATAACACTTCATCCGCTACGGCTTTTTTTAAAATTGACATTGCTCCTAATGATATTTTTAATATTTTTCCTACAGAAGGTATTATTACACCAAATAAACACGGGCACATAACTATTAAATTTTGCCCGAGAAGAACTGGATTCTTTGCTCGAAAATTGTTTATTCTCATCTGGAACGCGACACCTCTCATAGTTGAACTTCTTGGAATAAATGGAGTAGATGTTGACTTATCAAATACCCCTTTAACTTACCTTAATCAATGTTCATATGGACTTAAAGCCTATCTGGAAGACCAAAATAAAGCAAAACATCCTTTTGAAATCCACCCGCAATATTTAAATTTTGGAAGCGTCATGGTAAACGAGACAGAACCATTGAAAAAGGTTACAATGTTTACCAACCGCTTAAACCGTTCAATATTTATGGATTGGAATTTAGATACAAAATCTAGCATTTTCACTGTGAAACCCAAAAATGCGAAAATAAACTCGAACAAAACTGCAACGTTTGAAGTACAATTTAAACCAGAAATATGTGATAGTGTTTATCAAGAAACAATGATGGCTCAAATATATTGGAAACCGGAAAGAAAAAGTACCATAGAGGAATTGCCTGTTCCTTCAACTTGTAATTTGAGAGTTCAAGGGTATTCTTTTCCAAAAAACGAAATATGGATTAGTTACATCAAGGTACTACCCAAAGCAGTTCATTGGCAACCTTGCTCGCCTGGTGAAGTAGTTTTTACGACTTTCTTATTGCAAAATTGTACTGATTTACCTGTGCTATACTCATTGATACCACCACTGAAAACAAATATCATAGCAAAACCAATGATGGGAAAATTTCGAAAAAATGAAATAATTGCTGTGCAACTTGAAACAGAAAAAGACACAGTGAGGACATACATTGAAGAATGGACAATTGTCCTTAACGACAGAGATGATCAGCGATTGGAGATTTATTTTCATGGCGAAACTTGTATTCCCATTATAGAAATTGGTGATAAAAATAAAATAAATGCTGGTAATGTCCAAGACGGTTCTCAGAAGGAAATTGAAGTTCTCATGCAAAATAAATCATTCAATAGAATTAATTTTCGATTTAGTTTAATAAAGCAAACGATTCTTAGGCTTGAACCAATGTCCGGTATACTGCCTGTTAACCAATTGTCGACATTAAAAATTACTATTATTGGCAGTGAATGTGCACCTAAAAAAGAAACATTTGTATGTGAAACCCGGTTCATTAATAGTGATGGTTCTATTTCAGAGGTAAGCCACAATATCGACGTAGATCTTCACTGTCAGATCTCCTTTTCTGAATTATGTGCTTGTCCAAGTTTTAAAGATTGCGGACGGTATCCTTTTGGACACAAACTCAAAGTTAATTTCGAAGTTATCAATTTAGGAGAGACAACTATATTTTTCCAAATGTGCCAAACTGGAGATGAATCTGCCGATGACAATTTCCGTATTAAACCTTATTACGGCGAAGTAATCCCCAAGGAAGCTAAGCATATTATTGTTACTGGAATAATATCCAAAGTTGGCAATCAAACAGTGGAATTTGGATACTATAACAGAATGGTCAGAGATTCTCCATTCGTCACTGGAGTGTCCAAAAAAATATTTCATTTAACATATCAATCAGAGCTTCCTATAATACAAATTGAGCAGATAGTCGAACATAATTTTGGAGAGCTTTTTGGAAAACTTGACCTATACAAACATTATTTGGAGATTCCTAGAACTAACCAGATTTTACGGGAAATCCAAAATGACCAAACAGTACAAATACATTTGCGTTTTCCAGATTTTCAAGTCCAGGAAAAGGAATTTTATATCAAATTGGCCTTAACAAATATTTCCGATTTTGATGTTAAAGTTAACCTGAAAAGGAAAAAAATATGCGACTGTGAGCTTACGGAAATTTCAACTGGAGCCATATCAAAAAGAAAAAAGGGTTTTAGTTGTCCGCATCGGCTTTGTTTGAGCATGGATTTTGAGTCCACCCAGTTTCCTGCTAAAACTACAAGATTTTTGTCGATAAAAGTCAACTATCAAATGCTCGAAGATATCGAATTGTGTTATGTCTTAGAGCTTAGCTGCAGGCGAGTTATCGAATTTTACTTCAAAATCCCTGTTATACTTCCTGACACTCCCAAACTTTCAACATACACCAGAGATTTTTCATTTTCTTTGGAACATGTTTATTTGGGCACTAGAGTAGCTCCAATTCAGATATTTTGGCTACGCAATAATACGCAAAATTTATTGCACTATAAATTTAACACTAAAAATATTGAGCAAATGTGCAGAATAAATGGGTTTCCAGTCCTTGAAATATTGAACCCTTGCGATCAGATTTATCCCAATAAAAATAAGGCTTTATTGGTAAGATTTCTTCCAATTGAAAGTAAAAGTTATTTTGTTACTATCAATGTCGAATACTATTTTCCTAGTAGGAATACTAGTGGTTGGTCTAAGTTCCTAATTTTGGGCAACGGAGTTATGGAACAAGAATTTCAGTCCAGTGAAATTGAAACGATGCCAAAAGTGTGTAATTTTATAGGAAACTTTCCTGCAACTTTGTCAGTTGATTATATCGATGCAAATATAATTCCTACATTTAGTAGAAAAAAGGAACTAATTTTTATTACAAACAATTCCCGTGACAGAATACTTCAATGTGAATGGATTACTGTAAAAATTGATGACTTGATTGAAATATCTGCTCGACCCAATAGTTTCAGACTGTTACCAAATGATGTTCTACCTGTGGAAATCATTATAACATCATTTTCACAACCATGTAGGGCTAAATTTGTTTTACCATGTAAGCTCATGTATTACTTAGACATAGTTGATAGTGATGCTGCTTGTTTGAAGAAGGAAGAAATTAATACCGAAGGTGTGATTATGGAAGCTTGTAGGTCTCGACAACAAATGTATATTGAAAAGGTGCGTCTAAAGCAAGAATATTGTGAATATGCTTCTGTAACTATCAGTATTCAAATGGTCCATTCCAAAGATCTCGATGAAAGTATGAATATGTTCAAGCAACTCAAACGATATCCGAATCAGTGTTTTGGTTTGGCTTTAGAGTTTCCAATAAGAGATAGTTCAGGACCTGATATTAGAGAACGCAAACTTTTTGGTGAGATAATCGAAGACATTATTTCTGATGCCTTGTTTGGGAGTTCATTGAAAAATTTACTAGAAAAATCCATTAAAACTCCCATGAACACATATAACGACTTTACCATTGACGATAAAGCGAATGCTCCATCGACCAGTGAGGGAATAGAGTTTTACAGGAAACGTGAGACAGAGAATTTTTTCAACCAACTAAAATTAACCGAACAGTCGGATATTTTGGAAGGTGTTATATTTGATAGCATAAAGCAGATATTTGAGTCTAACAAAAAGAAAAATGATTTGGATATAGATGAAAGGATATAGAGATTGAGGGTAAATGTATTGATAATAAGAAATCCCGACGAGAGAAGGTATTTTAGACCGAACAAATTAAATTTTAATTTATTATTTAAAGTGTATGCTTATTTAGATATAAAATCTTAAAAGAGTAACGGAATTTTATTTATTTATTTATTTACGGGTCAAGCCCATTTACACAATATAATTGAATAATAACAAGTTCTAAAATTATCAAATTTTAAAAATAATAAAAACAAAACAAAACAATGGAATTTCCATTCACATTAGAAATCTAGAAAATAAAGAAATTAAATAAAGTTAAAAAAATTAAATAAAGTTAAAGTTTAAAGTTAAAGTTAACATCCATCAACCACCAAACTAATGTGTAAGACAATCCTGCTATTAACAATTTTAAAAAATGAGAGAAAAAAAACAAAAAAGAAGAAACAACAATATTTTTCAGATTTTTATAAACTTTTTATAAGGTTTTTATAAGGTTAGGCCTTTGACCGCTCGCGCAAATAGTTGGCAAGGACCAAAGAAATCTAATTCAGATAATTCATTGCGCAGGGTTCGAGAAATGAATGAATGATAAGCATAATTAGTTCTGTGAAACTGTTGATGAAAAGTTTGTGTAGTACGAGTGCTCTGGGATGGAACATGTAATCCAATTCTGGAAGTGTAATAGGGACAATCAATTCTAGAGTTTATGAGCTTTTGAATTAGTATTAGGTCTCTCTGCTTTCTTTTACACGAGAGAGTTGTTAGGTTTAATGATGTGCATAAGTCAGAATAATGAAATTCATTATTGTAAAATTTGTAGTTAATGTATCTGCAGAATTTTCTCTGAACAGCTTCCATCCGATGGATATGGCATGCATAATTAGGACATCACACTGAAGAAGCATACTCTAAATGTGTTCTGACATAGGAATAGTACAAAGTTCTAATAGCATTAATGGTCGAAAAGTCCCTTGTGCTACATTTCACAAAGCCAAGCATGCGTAAAGCCTTGTTGATTGCGTTGTCAATATGAGTTCAAAAATCTAGATTTGAGGTTAATATCACACCTAAGTCTTTGATTTGTTCCACGCAGCCTTGGAATATCATCAATGTAATAGACAAAATTATTGAAATTTCTGGACTTGTGGAATTTAATGACCTTGCATTTGAGAACATTAAGATCCATGCCATTGGCATGGCACCATTGTGATAATCTGTTTAGATCCTCTTGAAGTGCTAAAGAGTCTTCTGGAGTGGATACCTTCAGAAACAGCTTCAAGTCATCAGCAAACAGAAATGCTTAAAACAAGATGAAATGTCATTGATAAAAGTGTTAAATAGTAAGGGGCCAAGATGGGAACCCTGGGGGACTCCTGATGATACTGAGATTTGAGAGGATGTAAAGTTGTTAAGGTGTACTATTTGGGTCCTGCTTGTGATATAACTCTTTATCCATTGTAGGAGACAACTTGACACGCCGAAGGTCTCCAATTTTTCAATTAAAACTTCGTGGTTCACTCTGTCAAACGCCTTGGAGAAGTCAGTGTAAATAGAGTGTATCTCTTCACCTCTCTCCAAGGCGCCTGTCAGGATGTCCACATAAGATTTAGTTCGGTAGAGGAGTGTTTTTTGAAGCCAAACTGCTGGTGTATAATCTCAGGTCCAAGGCAAGATGTCAAGAATTTTGTGACTATATTTTCAAATATTTTTGGAATAGCATTGAGGATACTTATAGGGCGATAATTAGTCACATTTTCCAAATCACCTGATTTGTGAATGGGTACCACGAAACTTGATTTCCAGAAGTCTGGAAATATTCCGTCCTGCAGTGATTTATTGAAAATCATATGCAGTGGTCGAGATAGAACAAAACAGCAGTTTTTTAAAAACAGTGGATGAACCTTATCAGGTCCAGGTCCTTTGTTTGGGTTAATATTTTTTTTTAGTTCAGTGTAGATATCCGAAATTGCAATAGTGAGGTTACACAGGTTGAGGGGGCCTGAAGAGGGTTGATTTGGCAAGTCCAAAGAGTCGTCTGTATAGACTGAGCCGAAGTACTCGGCAAAGAGTTCAGCTGCTTGTGGGCCCATAGGAGCTGATTTTTCGTTTAAGGTGTAGCTGGATGGTTGTTTACTAGAGTTTTGTAGGGAATTTGTGTATGACCAGAAAGCCTTGGGATTGTGTCGAAGAGATGCCTCCGTTTCCCCGATATAGTTTTGAAGACATTGCCTTGACAGAAAATTACATTGAGATCTCAAATTAGAATATGTTTGGTAATCGCGGGGAAGTTTGCTTACCTTAAATTTACTAAAAATGTCAAATGTATTATATAAAATATCGTAGGTAGAACAGTCTTAACATCCCAAAAAAAGAGTCCCAGGCACTCATTGATGTCATTGAAATTTGCTGATTTGAAGTATAGTAGCAATCATCTCCCTGGGCACTTGGCTTGTTATGCTTTGGATTTAGATCAACTTTTAGAAGCAATGGTGGATGGTGGTTGTCCAGTGGTAGCAGGTAATCTTCAGGGTCAGGATGTGTGATTGGCAGCTTTGATTGACATAAAACCAGATCAAGAATGACATTGTTGACGTTTCGAATGTCATTAATTTGGTATAAGTTGTGAAATGAGCAGATCTCTGATAATAGTTGTATTTTACCAGATTCCAGATAGGTAGCCATCTTGTGGACGTTGAGCTGATGAGCAGAGATCTTCCATCATCCATTTGGCCTTTGGGAGATTGAAGTCTCCCATTATGCAAAAACTGGCATTGCTACACTGCTGAGACATTTTTTCGAGGTTGTTTCCAAAGCTTTCATACTTTTCTATCGGTGAGCTGGGTGGTATGTATAGGCTGCCAACTATCATTTGCTTTTTGCCTGAGCCTACTAGAACATAAACTTGTTCAATATCGTCAGTTGATCGTATTAGAAGTGATGGGATAGACTCATGCACTGCAATAAGTACACCTCCAAACCGCTCTGCTGTACTTGAAGTAGCTGATCTATCACAACGAAAAACATTGTATGAATCAAACCCAAGCTCACCTGTATGAAATTGGTCGCTTAGCCCTGTCTCTGTAAAAGCAACTATCTGGTAATTATGCATTGCAATGCTGCAACGAAGCTGCTCCAACTTGGTTCTGATACCGCGAACATTTTGATAATATATGTTAAGGTTTAATTGTTTTCTGCTGGCGTTTCTTTGTCTGATGTTGGTCGTGCTTAACCCCGTGACGGGTTTTTTTTGGACAATTTTTGGTATACCTTTCACCATTCGCAGCTGGATATTCTGCTCACCCTGTTTACGTCGTTTTTTTAGATCTTCTGTGGCAGTCTTCTCAAGCTCTCTTTGATTATATATATGTGTTTACCTTTGAGCTTGTAGCCATTTCGTAATGTGGAATGTACATCGAGGGCAGAGTTCAGCACCGCTCTTATGGGGCGTGCATTTTTGGCGTTAGGTCTGCCAAAACGAGTGACTTTGTAAATAGTGGACTGTGTGTCCAGTAGCATTTCTTGTACGGAGTATACTTGTTGATAATCATCGCCGGACTCGGGTATGTTGAAAAAAAGTAAGTTGTTAGCTCTGGTTTGGCGATCATGCAGTTCAGCCAATATGTCAATGTTTGAAGATTCAAGTGTTGGTAGTATTGCCTGGCGCCAGTTGCTAGTCGAGGGATTCCAGGTGGGTTACCCTTTCATTTAGTGAGGTAGTGGCAGCAGCGACTGACTCCTGTACTAGGACTGGTAGGCTTGATTGCAGTTCTGTTACACATCTTTCCAGTTCACATACACGATCCATTAAGCCTAGAATCTGTTTGACATTCCTCATGCATTCTTTGCAGTAGAACGGAAAGGAACGCTTTGAGAGCACTATAGCCCGTATTTCTGTGGGTCCAGTGATATCACTACATGTTTGACATATTACTCTCTTACAGTGGTCGCATGGGTAACCAAAAACATCATTGCTTTTAGTCTTGGGCTCCTTAAAAGTGACTGTTGCATTGCAACTGCTGCACGTCCCAGACATATTTTGAGGTTACCTTTAAATATCTTGGTAATTTGTAATCGTCGGTTTTATTGATTATAGGTGGTTAAGGTCTATCAAATAAGAGGCCTATAACATTATTTTGTCTTATTTTATGCATAAAAGTGTTAAAAATTACTTAGAAAAATTTTGAACCTGTGTTGTAAACAACTAACATAACCATTATTTCAAAATCTTTGAATAGGTACCTTCTGAAACTCAACATACACTAGACATTTTGTATTCTGTAAAGAACACGTTCATTTGAGCACTAGAGAAATTGTGACTACATAACATATAATACACAGTAATGGAAAAAAGAGGTTACAAATAGGTATCTTATTGAATGCATATAAAAAGATGTTTATGATTTATAATTTGGTCAGGGCTTCCATTGTACTTTAACTAGTCTAACCGATCTTTCACACCCTTTGCTTAGGAGTAAGATCAAAATGTGTAACATTTTGGGTTTCCATTTTATGACGGTTTTGGACCAAATGTTCAAGTAAATTTTCAATTTTGAGGTATAAAGTATTAGTTTATATCATATTCAATTATCACTGTTCTATAGGAATGCTTAGATAACCACTTTAGTTACTTTGAAAAATTGTTCCAACTGAATCAGAAAATATGTTCGTTTCCCAGTATAACAACTGCACTGGGTAAATCCGAACAAACTGCACTGCGCAAATTAGTGTCGGCAAAGTTTCAAAAGGCTACTACACTTCGGCAATTAGTTGTGTTTTAAATAAATTCAGACAAACGCGCCGTTTCCGCGAACAAGGCAATTTCCGAAGACATTAAGATTTTTTGTTTTACTTGCCTGGATTTATTTAGGATGCTGACTCTACTAACGTCAAGTGTGGGTATGCCATCTTAAAAGGAAAGTACAAATTATTTGTTCAAATGGGAATGGAAATAATTACTTAATGATTTCAATACATATACCTACTATTTTACTAGAAAAAGTGTTCTACGGATTTTACCTCCATATGTCTTATAGGTATCCCTGGAATATACTGTACCTAGACCTATATTTAATTTTTGAGGATCTCGAAATAAATCATATCAAATCAATGTTTTTCTCAATTAGGTATATTTATTTTTCTGAACTATTTTTAACGGCTAT